TATTTTGTTTGCTGAATATTGTAGAATGACTGGCCTTGTTGTGTAATTGTGTTATATAAGACAGTGTGAAGGTTGTACTCTACTGAACTGTTTTCTGTCTGGGCTATAAAACATAGATAAGATGGTAAATCTAATCTAACAGGTAAAATTCAATTTAGATATTCCTGCACTATCTGGGCTAAAGGCGTGTGACTCTGATCCAGTGATGATGCCTCAAACAGGTCGTATAGTTATCAGACTGGCTTGCACAAAATATAATAAGACAAATTATTTTAGTGCCAAAATCTGCTCCAAATGCTCACCCATTAACAGTAATGGAAGAAGTATTTAATTTGGTTACTTAAGTAAATACCAGAGGAAAAAAATACTCAAGAAAAGTAAAAGATTAAGTATAAATACCAGTTTAAAAATGTACATAAAAAGTAAAAAAAAGATTTTGAGGTCTTATAAGGCTTCAGATGTAGAGATTTTGATGATTTATGCTGAATTCTTGTTCAACAGAAACAAGTGAATTGATTTTTTTTTTTTTTTCCCAAGCTGTTTTTATTTGTGTATTTTTGTTTGTTCAAAAATTAAAATAATTTCTTCAGCAGGTTTCAGACAATAATAAATATACTTACTTACTTCGGTCCTGTTTAAAAATGCAAACATTTTGTGGAGTAGAAAATACAGATATCTGCTCTCAAATGTAGTAAAGTAAAAAGTATTCACTGTAAAATGTGCTTCAGTAAAGTACAGATCCCTAAAATTTATACTTAAGGACATTACTTTGCTACTTTTACTTTGTTACGTTCCTGAACTGCCTGTCTAGCATGTTGGAATTTATTTCCAATACATACTTTTCTGATACAACTTTCTTGATTTATCTAGACTTAGGACTGGCACATATGCCTCAGGCCAAGAGATATGAAAGATCAAACCAGAAACCAAAAATGGTAAGATGGCAAATGCATACCTTGCTTGATGACTTTATCCCTTTTCCTCTGATCATACTCTCTTGGCGCAGGCGGCCTCACAGACTCCAGAGAGAACGGGCTTCTTTTTCCAAACAGATACCAGTAAGAGCCCCCCACCCAAAGGAGCACCCACACGAGGAAGATCACCAGCCACATGACGGAGGAGAGGAGAGAGCTGGTACAACAGACTGATGCAGAGACAGTATTGTGTGCGCTAATAAAGGCCTCAGCAGGCAGTGCCAAAGTCTGAGAGAGGCATGCGCCTGGAAGGTGGCAGTCTTCATTTTACAACATTCCATAAAGATAAAGCACAGGACCTATTTTTCCTCAAATGACTGAGCACAGATTACAGAATAATTCAGCAAACGGTGTGTTCAGAACAAATAATGAGTCATACTTAACATTTTCATAACAGTTTGATAATTGTCTGTTGGTATGTGAGGTTATTGTAGGTTACATCATATAGCCTCTCTCATATAGGCTCGACTCTCTTATCCCAGTAGCTGTAGGTAAATTGGACACTTTTGCTCAATTTTACTTTCTTTCTGAGAACTGTATCTAAAGAAGTTCCCACTACTCATGTGAAGTATTTGCTGCAGCTGATAACCTCTGGTCTTTGGTGAATATGTCTTTGAGACTGTAGAAAACTACATTTTTTACAGGAGATAAAAAATCTTGTGCACATTTTTTTTTTTTTTATGTAATTTTTTTAAACAGTATTTCCTGTCCATTTGTTCAATACATAACTGTGCTTCATTCTACTATTCATCTATTTGGGATCCAGCCTTAATAACCTTAATGTGTAGTGGTAATAATATAAAATAACAAGAACAATAATTGTCATTAAGTAAAAGTTTTTCTTATTATACTTTACTGTAACTTATGTAACTTATGAATATATTCTTATCTATTATTCCATCATCTATATAGTACTTTTACATCAGTACTTCTTATGAATGCATTCTGTTTATGAGGACAACAAGAGTCCAAGAGTCTGGCAGATCACGTCAAAGGTTGTCACATATTTAACTTTTTTCTGATACAAAAAGCGTATGGAGATTAGATTATCTCAATGTATATTTGCTCTTATCTGATAAGGCAATTTAGATAAAGCAGTAATTATGAGGCTGTTACTGTAGACTTTACACAATATGTCCACAACAACTGTGCATCTGACTGGTGTGATCAGGACAGCACCTAATAAAGAGACAATGCACTTTTAAATATGTATTTTGATTTTTCAATAGTTTATTTTTCAGAATGGGAGAGTTGTGTTTAGAAGGAGGCAATTTTCTGTATAAATTGGACTATACTTGAATTTAACCACATAAAAATGGTTCTAAAATTATATATTAGTGTTTAGGACTAAAGTGTCACTGTACCACCCCATCATTTTTTGATGGGGGAGATCTGCCACCTGTTTGTCTCTATTGAGGTGGGTTATTGCTTTGCCTGGAATGTTCCGGAGTATGGCATTAACTTAATTATTATCTAAAACATGTACTTGATCTGTAACTTGGCCTGATGGTGTCACCTGCTTGTGTCCATGGAGTAGATAAGTTTAATGTCATGCTGTGGAACATTTCAAGCAAAGCAAAAAATATACAGAAAGGTTAAAGAGTGCACTTTTATCTGTTATTCTTTTACCTTTTTAGTTGGCCATTACCATTCAACATACATCAAAACTACATTTACTTCCAAAATACTAATAAATAATTGTCTATGTGCCATGTATATATGTTTGGTAATAGTGTCCCTGCCCTAGATCAGACCTTTTGTAAACAGTATTGTGGCTTAAGGTGGTCAGGTGACGACTCACTGTCCTTGTTCCTAGTGACCTGTGTGGTAACAAATCCTATTCTACTCTGTTCTCAGTCATCTAATTTATGCAAGATCATTCCAGATGCCCTGCTCAAAATTTGGCCACTCCTCCCAGAACAGTGCATTTTGTTCCTCATAAACGTTCATTTATCCAGGCTTAAGGTCAGTTCAAAGTGTAAAGTGGCTGTTGTGATAGAATCTTAACCATTATGTTACCACCTATACAAACATGCATAGAATTTACAATGTTGGCACCAAAACTGATAAAATGTCTCTAATAGGTTTAAAAGCTCACAATGGGGGCTGAGGATGAAGCCTTTGCAATGAGATTATAGACTTTGATACAGGAAGCAGTCCCCTACGACCTGCTACACTACAGCTAGCAAATCCTATTATAGGTAAGTACATGCACAAGTCATATGACATTGTACTGTCCTATATGTCACCTTTGTTATTCTTCTACATAAAAACTACAATATTTGTGGTGAAGTGTATAGTATAGTGTATACAGTAAGGACAAGAGAAATAAACAACAAAGACAACAGTTTTGACCACTTTTTGATTAGCTATTTGCATTTAATAACAAACTTTCTTCAACAGTTTTTGTACAATTGATATATTATCTTTAATAAAATACATTTACAGGTTTTTGTTGACTATTTTCCATGCATTCACAGTTAAATCTAAGTTTGTATCCATGAGTGATAAAAAATAGCAGGATGTTTTTTGCCTGTTTGATATATACATTTGTTATGTTACTATGCAGCCTCCCTTGTCTCCCTTGTACGGGTTTTTGTCATCTGGGACTCCCTTGATCAGCATGTCATTGGGAGCCAGGTTCTCCACAAAAGCAATGGTTTCAGCGCAGTTTGCAAGCACCTGTGAGAGGAAAGGTGAGTTATAATTACAGAACAGCAAAATGAAGTATTGTACAGGTAAATCTTACTATAATTTTATGTGGAGATTTTTGGTCATCTAGAATATCACCATGAAAATTAAGTTGTGAAGAGAAATGTATTTTATCTAAGGGATGCGTATTAGGCCTGTGTAATCTCAGTTTAAGCTTGCTTTGATAAATATTTGATAAAACCCTAAATGTATTGACAGTTTTCTTATAGCATTGCATACAAGTTGTTGCAAAAACTGAAATTTTGGCTAAATTCAAAACTCATTATCAAATATTTTACGCATTTGACACATAGAGAAGATGAAATGCATGTCTCTAGTATCTTATAATATTTTGCATTCAATAAATGTATTAAAAATGAAACAGTTTCACTATCAGGATGTAGTTATGAATATATTCTAAAATAACAGTATAACTCACAGGTGTACGGGCTGTGCTGACTTCCTTCTTCAACTGGTCCAACTCCATTTTCAGGATTTCTTTATCTGACATATCCCGAGCCATCCTGACTGCAAAAGAGATAGAGCTTGATTAACCCACAACACAACAACACAAACTTATTATTCCAAAGATTGACAAAATATTACAGCATTTTTACTGATAACTGTAAATATTTTTTCCTTACCTGTTGAATGGCGGGGTCTCCACACACAAGAAAAATTTCTGCTCCTAAGAGCTTGTGTACAGTGTCCCTAGCTCCGGTTTGGTTGTCTCCTCAGATTGTCTGAGTAGAGCTGCTCCACTGCTCCTCATCCCAGCTGATCCTCGCCGTGAGCCTGATGTCACCAATCCCTTGGTAAAAGGATTAAACAATCAACAGCCATTTACCCTCGAACAGGAAGGAAGAGGAAGAGCTGAGATCCTTCTAGATGCACATAGAAACACAACATGATTGGTGGTCCACTGATTCTAGGATGTGATGATGCCATAGACTCAGATGAGGGCAAGAGACAGTTTTTTCTATTGATTACATTGTACTTATCCAAAAGGTGAATGCGTAACTGTTGTTTCTACTTTTGACTAGACCCAAGAACTCATAAGCAAATCAATCATTAAAATCACTAGATACACAATAAGAATAGTAACAAAATAGTAGAATAAATACAAATACAAAAACACAAATAGTGCATTTTTTCCTGTTGTTTATTGTTAAAATAATGTTTGGTTAAATCATATCTTATAGTCAGTTTGTTTTTATAGCTTCATAGATGTTAACATTGTATCAACAATTTAAAGATAGCTTTGGATTGTTGTGACATTTTTATTGATCTGATTATAACTAGTGCAGTGGTTCACAATCAAAGTCTACTTCCTGTCATTTAAGATAGCGTAGCCATAGTCTAAGCCATAGTATAAATTGTTTTTTTTAAATCGTGCATTGAATGTCAAATGCAGGTAGGTTTATGTTTATGGATCAGTAAGTTATCTAATACAGTTCATGTATTACCAATGTTTTTGGTTGTGTTAAAGCTGTGTATTCTGCATTCTCAGCAGATTTCTATAGATACAAATGCTCCATGTGCCCATAGACAGCATTGCCTCTTGTTCTTAATGTTTATCTGTAACTACATTATCTTATATGCTGAATAATGTTTGCTCAGCAGTGGGTTTACAGTATGTTACAGTGGCCTTAAACTCCTCCACTTTATTGACCTTGTGAAAATGAGACGTTGTCCTAAAAGGCTAACCTGTATAAATTAAGCATTAATGATAAAAATATCTATGTATCTAGCCTATCTATCTGTTAAAGTCTGGGCAAATGAATGTCACTTAATGTGCAAATTTTAAAATGCAAATAGAAGTAATTTCATAGCTGCACAGAACCAAGAATACCTAGGCATACCTAGGGCATATGAAATTAGGCATGAAATTAGGGGAAATGTTAAGGATCTCAATAGAAAATATAAATTAATGATGATGTGTTATTGACTTTTCATATGAACTGTGAGACAAACGGTTGATCGTTTGTTAAACCTCGGCAGCACTGGCCTCATAAGCCATTTTCAGGATCTGGGTTAGTCTCATCGGCTGCAGATTAACCTGAGATGTCGTGGTGGATTACCGGCACGTTGGACACACTTTCAGAGAGTGCAAGAAGTAAAAGCACAACTTTCCCTTTCCTTAAATAAAGAGAAAAGTATTATACCTGTCAATATATTCAGGTACTGCATTGCACTATATAACGTTTTTTTTTTTTTTAAATGCAATACAATTTGGCATTTTTCTACAATTACTTCCATGACACAGCCCCTGGAGAAGGAGTTACTATGTTATATAGCCTTTAGATTATGGACTAGTTAAGGCAGTTGCTCAAGAAATAACTAATTACGTGACCTTTACATGTCAGCTCTGCTTTATTTGCACCTCTAGAGGGCAGCATTTGTCCTTCCCACAGTTCTAAATCCCAGTAGCAGAGAGTATGAGAGGTTACAGGGGGATTGTCATTATGATAAAGTATAAAATAAAAGATGGTTTAGGCCTACCACATGACAAAATATAATACCTTTCTATCTACCTGTAAGAAAAGTCCATTATTTCAAGAGCAATGTATATTTCTTACATAAAGACTTTATAGTCGAGTTTCATCTTTCTAAACTTGGCTTTTCTTGTACTCGTACTTTTACAAACTAAAGGGAATTCTGTTTTAATTATCTGGGTAAGAATTAGGCTTGTTATTGAAATTTGAATATTAAATAGTTTTAGTAACTATAACTATTACACATATCATCCAAACTGACACGATAAATAAGATGTCATTGAAGTAAAATGGTAAAACATTAACAACAACAAAATCAACAAAAAAGAAATAAGCTTTTATTTTGAGACGTAAAGGTACTTCCGGTGCACGTCTCCTCTCATCTTCCGCACTGCTGATGAATGAACTGCGACATGGCAGCCCCGAGCAGGAAGCAACTTTTTAGGTTTCTCAGCCAAATGGGAGCCTTCATTTTGACCCGATTTGGGTTTTGGAACTGCTTCAGTATGTTGATGTTGTTTGCTGAACGAGCAGACTCAAAAAGGTAAAAGAAACGAGTGATTTTAGCACTTGGGCTAACATGCTAACAACTGCTATGGCCTGTCAGAACCTGTCAGATATTTGCATGCTGACTGTTAGTTTAGCATCATTAGCAGCACTAACAGGATCGGTTGGTAGTTTGTTTAAAAAGTTAGGGTTGATTTTTAGTTTTATACAAAAGGGAAAGTTGCAGTCCCTGTTTTAGATTAGAATGGCACAGCACTCTGTAATTTAAGATGGGCAAAGTAGGCTATACTATGTAATTATCCATATGCTTTTTGCTTACTTTGTGGAATGGGTGGGCATCTTGCTTAAACAACCCCACCCGCTCAACTATTTATTCTAGTTATACAAACTTTGTCTTGTTGCTCACTTTCACCTAAGTGTTGCATTGACTAACATTGTTTTTTAAAGGTGCATTATGTAGAATACTTGTGTTCTTAGCTATTTTTGAGCTATAAAACCAGCTGTAATTTAATACATGTTAGGTAGAGCTGCTGAATGTCATACTGTGGAACATGTCCATAGAAGTGTACAGGTGACACCCATCCAAAAAGTGACATAGAGCACCTTTAATGTCCCAGTTTAGTTTTATTGTCGTGTTCACAATTTACTTACTGGTAATCACTGTAACTGAATATTACCGAAAATATAATAGAAAGTTAATGTAATGTGTTTGTATTACTTCAAATTACCATTGTGCCTCCTGTTTAAATAAATTTAAATACTGTGTGTACAAAACTACTAGGAGAAATTTTGTATTATATTTGTTGTCTGTATTTTATTATTATGTTTTGCTGTCCACAGAAAACCCGACATCTCAGTGCCATACCTGTACATAGACATGGGAGCTGCAGTGCTGTGTGCCAGTTTCATGTCATTTGGGGTGAAGAGGCGTTGGTTTGCGATGGCCGCTGCAGTTCAACTGGCCATCAGCACCTATGCTTCGTACGTGGGGGAGCAAGTGCACTACAGCGAGTGGCTCAAGGTTGGTCTTTTTGCAAATATATGTTATTTGAGATCAACAGTGGGCAGGTTTGTCTTTATTGTGCCTTTTAAACTCACTTAAAAAATAAAAATGCATGATAATTTCAGTTCCATCACCAGAAGTGGAATAGTGTACAGACAGAGGTGTACCTGACCTGACATTTCATATAGAAAGTGCTGAGTTAGACATATTTTGTTACAATTAAAATGTATATACTTACTAACTTGATTAAAATTTTTCTTTCAACTGTTTGCAGGTGAGAATGTACTCCAGAGCTCTGGCGATCATTGGAGGCTTTTTGGTTTTAGCCAGTGGAGCAGGAGAGGTGTACAGACAGAAACCTCGCACAAGATCCTTACAGTCGACTGGACAGGTCTTCCTTGGTGTATACCTAATTTGCATAGTAAGAAAATTTTTAACATTTTTAATACAACTAATTAAATGAGAGAAGTATTGTTAACTGCTAACACTGAAATTGTTTAGTAATGTCGCAGTCACTTTTGAGAACATTAAAGCAGACCTATTATGCAAAATTTGAAAGCAAGGGGAAGGAATTATAACATGGTTAAACGCTATGAAAAGTCATAGCTTTTAACCATAGTATGGTTGCTTCCTCTTCTCATTTAGAAAAGCTGGTATGAGGAGTTTGTGCAGTAAAAATGTTACAATTATGTTATTATTATTCATTTTGGTTCCAATAGGCAGTAAATGTAGAAACAGTAAAACAAGGATTGTCTGTCCTACTCAGATTGTTTCTTCCAACCTTGTAACTTAAAATCTAACTTCTAATGTGTCCATAATACATTCAAAGCATTACATGGATTCAAGTAATTAAGTTAAAGTTCCTGTTGTACCATTTGTCATCTTAAATATCCAAAATGCTGCAATCTAACATAATTAATCAGCCTTAACAAACACTGAATCATGGCAGTGAAATGATTCTGTTGACCAAATTGCCCAACGTGTTATCAGGGACATTAATGCAGTTCCTTTTTTCCTCCACTAGGTGTACTCCCTGCAGCACAGTAAAGAGGATAAACTGGCGTACCTGAACCACATTGTTGGAGGAGAGCTCACCCTGATGCTTCTGGAGGTGCTGTTTGGTGTGCTAGCTTTGGCATTCCTCTCGGGCTGGTACATTCGATTAGCGGCTCAGATTTTGGCCACCGTCCTTCCTCTGGTCATCCTCCTCATCGACGGTAATCTTGGATACTGGCACCACAGTCGTAAGGTGGAGTTTTGGAACCAGATGAAGCTAATTGGACACAACGTTGGCATTTTTGGGGCAGTGCTCATCTTGGCGACAGATGGGTGAAAATAGAAAATCGCCGTAATTGAACTTTGCACTTGAGATTTGTTGCTTCTCAGGAAAACTGTAATTGCTGAGATAATTTGGTGCCTGTGTCCTAAATGGGAAATTAAAAACACTCTCCCAAGAATCATTTGACGATTCCAATAATTTATTCAAAAGTCATGTTTACATTTGTCTGTTATGCTCTGATATGACAATTATTGATGCTGTTAAATATCTGAAAAAGTGTTAATGTTAGGATTTTTTTTTTTGTCCATGTTTCATCCATCAAAAGCTGTAATCGCCATGATATTGAATTCAGAAAGGGAAAGTTACAACGGTTTGCATTATCGAATGTAAATTATGGCATACATATTTGTGTCTAACATTTATAGTGCGTTAAAATAGATTAAGGCCATGCATCATATTTCTGGCTCATATGCAAGTTAGCAATAATACTGTCTGACTGCTTTGAAACTAGCATTAAGTAAGGCCTAAAAGATCATTTATTGCATGAAATTTAAATCAATCATGTCATATTTTTTGTATTTTTTTATAAACTTAAAATGTCCAGATTGTTACAGTTTGTACTTAAAGTTATTAAAGATGTATTTGCCCAGATGCCTGTCTGACTCCAAATACAATTTTTAAAAAAAAATGTTGTTGCACAATGCTAATCCTCATGTCTTGGATCAGTTTTTTTTATCTTTAATCCTTTTGTCAATAGTGGAGGCCAAAATTTGATTTGGTACAAAACATTTCACTTGATAAAATGGGATGCCACCTCTCCAGCCACTATATATGTCATAGAAATCTGATATAACAATATTCAAATCCCAGAGTACAATATAAACAAAGTATTTACATCACTGTATGTCCTGTAATATTTTATATAATAATAATCATAAAATACTTATCACTATATCTTCTGGCTGCACTGAAACAACAGTGTCTCTGCTTTTTAAAGTTCTACTGCAAGATTACAGTGCAATTAGGCATAAGAATTTGATATTCGACATATTTTAACATCTCCATTATATGAGTGGGAAACTTTTAACATTGCATAATAGTCAGTTTAACAGTGCTTTGCCTGAATTGTTTAACAGTGTGATGTAAACTTACATTGCATTTTATTTTTCATTTCTTGTCTTTTTGTTGCTCAAACACCAAAAACCTCACACTGTTACTGTGATTGCTTCTCCACAGACTTGACCTGTAATCTGCCCTGGTGACGCCACCTGTCTCTTGGGTACTGAATTTGTCAATCTCAAATCTGTTGGAACACTTCAGGCAACGCAAAAATATCTCCATGAAGACAAGCATGGTAGACCATACCTGAAATGGAACATAATGCACCTTTAAAGGTTTACAAAAATGCTGATAAAACAGGGCATTTAGTCATTGTAGTGGATTAAATGACTCCACTTGATACAACAGTTAATACCCAAAGCCTTTCTGTGCAGCCCAAGAATAGTGCTCAAGTGACAGATCACAGCAACTCGATATTTTGTGGTTTCCCTCTTTTGCGTCACCTGCTAATCCCAATCCCACAGCATCTTTCTATGCTTAAAAAGCAATAATTATCATTTATTATGTTTATCTTCATCTGATTCACTTTGACTTTGCTTGTTCTTCTGATTGCGTTCAGCTTTCACCAGTGCCCCGATCACAGCCAGGAGGACAGTGATAGTAATGACCAAAACAGAGACAGTTTCTGCCATGCATAACTGACTGTCCAGAGAGGTTAAAGCGCGCCCTGCCAACTGAAGGGGCCCATGACAGATTATGTCTTTATAATCTACAACCTGTAAATGTTTTACACGCTGGATCTTACCAAAAACACGCTGCAGCTCACAATCACATGTCCAAGGATTTGAGGACAGTTGTAAATGGGTGTTAGCGGTTTGCAGCTCTAAAAATGTCTTAAAACGAATGTGAACTAGTTGGTTGCCATGTAAACTAAGCAAGGTCAGACTTCTCAATGGGGTAAAAGCTTGATTCTCTATTACGGATATGTTGTTGTGGCCAAGATGTAGGATTTGGAGATTCTGCTGCCGACTCAACAAATCATCTACAAGAACATTCAATTTATTTCCTTCCAAGTTGAGGTAGTTGAGATGAGAAAGGCTGTTGAACAATCTGACATCCAAAGAAGTGATCTGGTTGTAACTCAGGTCCAGTTTACGTAGGTTTTCCAGGTCGTGCAGAGAGGTGGGGTCCAGGAGATGCAGGAAGTTGTGGTTAAGACGGAGTTCTTTGAGTGAAAATAGTTTGTGGGAAAAGTCTGGAGGAAGTGTTTTGAGGCGGTTGTAGCTCAAGTCCAAACGTTCCAGAAACTCCAGAGATGACAGAGACTGCAAAGATATGACAATTACATTTGACCAGTTTAGGTTTATCAATAATAAGAGAGACTGTACTTCCGCCTCAGTAGTTTCATTTGCTGAATTTAATCACTAATTTTGCCCCCCCCCTTTTAATCCTTGTTCAGAACTAGTATAGCAGTTGTATAATCCTATTTTATATCTGGCTTAGCCCTTGTTTAGACCTGGTTTAGATCTTTTGTACTGAGGCTTGACTTGATGTAAAGCTTTTGAGAACCACTGGAGTAAACAAAATAAATTAAAGGTTTAGTGTGGATTCCATAGGAGTGGACGGTAAGTAAGAGTAGTAAAGTACAGTACTCAAGTAAAATGTTTTGGTATCTGTACTTTTAAGGTGGATACTTTGTACTTTTACTTCACATCATCTGAGAGCAGGTATCTGCACTTTCATTAGTATTTTTCATTATAGTTTGAGACCTGCTGAAAAGAGTGAGGGATTAATGTTAACACATTCATGAATACGCAAAATATGCAAATTAAAAGAGTATTGAGTATTTTTTTGAACATTTTTGAGTATTTTTATTTAACACAATTGAGTACTTGTTCCACCACTGATGATACAGAATACTAACCAGTGCCTCCCAAAACTATTTAAGATGCCTCCTAAATGAGGAATGTAACCAAGAGACCCAAAACTATATAAGAATTAGTAGTACTGCTTTATAATAACTGTGCCGTAGATTTCCTTAATAAAGCATGTACATTAATACATGACTGTAGATTTGATCAAGCATGATTTAGGCTTTGAAACTACCTAACCCTAACTGCTTTAGTAGGTTTAGTCATTAAGCCTGAAGCATTCTTAATAAACCAAAAGCAAAAGCAAAATGTTATAATGTTGTTACCTAATCAAAAACATACCTTGAGTTGTGTTTTGTTTCATTCACATTTTTGAGTAATCCTTCGTTATTAGCCTGTCTACATCTCCAAAGCTCAAAACACTCCTTTTGATGTCATGTAGTGGTAGTTTTCAAATTGACAGCTACCTTTAACATTTTGTTCAGTAGAGAATGGCAATTCCAGGTCTTAAATCATCCATACACCAGGGTATTTCCTTGTATTACCACACAACATCACAAGCTGGAACAGACTGTTTTATGTTTGAGAGAAGAACTCAAATATGTAGGCTGTGTATGAAACAAAACTCCAGGTATGTTTTTGATGAGGAAACATAATAACATAGATCAGAAAACAGCAGGATATGGGCCCTTCAAGCCAAGTGTAGTTATTAAGTGTTACCAAAATATCACCAAAAAAAAACTTTGAATATATTGACATTCATACCTCTGGCTGTAGAGTCTGGATGCTGTTATTTGAAATGAGCAGGATTTTGAGAGACCACAGACCTCTGAAGGAGCGGCTCTGCACTTGTGTCATCCTGTTCCCGCTCAGATCCAGGAGCCAGGTCCCGTGTGGTATTCCGGACGGGACACTGGCCAGGCCCCGAGACTGACAATCCACCAAATCCGACAACTCGTAACACAGGCAATGACTTGGACACAGCTTAGACCCCACTGTGGCGTGTCCCAATACGACCAGGAGAAATATGACACCAATCATTGCGTAGAAATTGATAAGACTTTCCCCTCACTGCGACTGCAAAGATCAACAAACCACACTAGTGATTTCAGAACATTTCATATGAGCTATAGACATTGAATATTCCTGATTAGAGAGGGATTATGAGCTTAAAATGACCAACCCCGAGACCATGACCTTATCAGGGGAAATGGACCTCAGTTTGGACCCAATCCCAAAATGAGGATTTGGATTGCAGTTGCATCACATTACATAAGCATCAATGGATTTTGTAAAGTCATCATGTTAAGTCAAAATAATAATTGAAAAAATACTTAAGATAAGATCACATTTTGCATTAAAAAATGACTGTGAATTTCACTACATACTGTACTGTTAAACAATTTAAGCAACCCAAGTAACCAAATATTAACTTAGTAGCAAATTAAAATGGCTATGATCAGCTCAAAACCAGCAGTAGAAGTAACAAATATCTTAAATCAAACTGTAGGAAAAAAACTACCTGAGATGAACTCCCATTAATCCAAAATCCTTTCAAACCCAAGCTCTATCCTTACTTTTTGCAACATAAAATGAAACGTATCCACATAGCATCTCAAAACATTGAAATAAAAGTCACCATTCACACAGCTTTAGAGAAACCAGAGGCTTAAAGCATTTAAATTATTAATGTGAGTGACAGGCAACATGACCTGTAATTACAAGGAGCCGACACAATAAAGCTGCCGTACATTCCCTCCAATAAGAAACTGTAGCACCAAGTTACACAAGAACTGGCCAGACACTTCAGGACAATGAAAAGATCAACTCTTAGGGACAAAAACACAAACTCAGATGTCAATATTCATTCAAAATACAAAAATGAGGTTTGAAATAAAAACGTCTGCAAAACTTATAAAGAGCCCTTCAAGAAGTTGTTGAAATTACAGCATTACAGTCAGAATTTTTGTTACTTTTATTTTAGAAAATGTCCTTTAAAGTGTGGCGTTTCAAGTCACATTTTGTTTTAAAATACAGAAAATACAGACAGTAGAACATGGATACAGCAAAAAAAGGAAACAATGACAGAAAATAAAGCTAACAAGCCTTTCTGACTGCTCTAGTTTTCTCTTTTTGAAATGGACCTGAAGGCAAAGGAAGGAGGGCGGAAAAGAAAAGGCGTCAGGGAGAGGGGGAGGAATGGGGCAGATGAGACAAGTTAGTCAAGGAAACTATGGTGGCTTTATGGTTCATGTTTAAATTATTCTTTATAAAGTCTAATTTAAGATTTTAATCCTCTTTCTTTTTTGTCTTTTTCATTTATTGGTATTTTGATCTTCAGGATCCAGGGCCCTCAGTGCTCCCCCTTGTGGTCTCAGACTGAGGACAAGGAATGCCGACTTGGTCTGGCAGTGGGAACAGGACGCCTCATCGCCTCCCGGCCGAGCCGCACTGCCGACTCAAGAAGATAAAGTGGAGTCCTTCTGTGTTTGCTGTGCTTGTGAACGTTGCATGGACTTCTGACTTTCCAAGTCTCTAAAATGTTTCTCAACCTGTGGACACAGATCACCAGGGATTAAAGGTCACTCTGATACTAAATATCAAGAGATAACAGTGTTTTCAAAGGTTAGATATTCAAACAAAACTGTAGATAACCACAAATAAATCCTTTCATTGAATCTGATCAATTGACACAGCCCTAAATAAACATGTAGTGAGTAAGAGATAACATACAGGCCTGGTTATATATTGTATATATTTATATAGCTGTACCCAAATACAAACGTAAAATACATGTGAGACACTAGACATTTTACGTAATGAGCTTGGTTTTCTGCCACTGTGTCAAGAAAAATGTTATAAGCAGCTTTGGCCAAAAACACATTAATTAAGTGTCCACTGTCCCAGAATCCAGCTGCTCTCTTAATCTTTATGTCTGTGGTTTAGAGAAAGGACAACTTGGGACAACTCCCAGCTTATAAGTATTAAGCATCTAATACCAAGTGTCAATGTGGCATCATTACTAATATCCAACACTAAACATTGTCAAGTTGTACAATAAATTATCTTTGGATCCAGTAGCCACATGTTTCAGTCCAATAATACGCATCACACATTGACCACATATAAAAAATACCAAGCAGCTGTGCAGAGGTATTGCTGGAATTCAGACTGGAGCAAATGGCATTGTTAATTTGCAGATTGTGGACAGTTAGAGTGAGGACACAGATGGACACTTTTGGCTCTTACTCTCCTCAAACTGCCCTGACACTGATCTGCTGACCCTACCTAACCAGTCCTCCTGTTAAACTGCACTGAGACTTTGACTGAGACACAAAAGCCACTGAGAAGCGCAGTGTAAATTGATGCTGCAGCGGAACTTGAATTTCAATAAAGTATCTCTCTCTCTCAGGTTCAAATTGTGTTCATTTATTCTTTGGATTTTCCATATGATCAACTCAGGGAAAGACCTCCAGTGCCCCAGCTGAGACTGAGATAAGTTCATTGATGAATCTGAGACCAACAAACATATACCGTAGTAATCTGCTGTACTTACTATTTTGCGTACATGACTTAAAGCGCTTCCCTCTTTGCCCTTGCAGTTCTCGACCTGGTAAGGCGGTGAGATTACGACGTCGTCCATCACAATAATGTTCTTCTCCTGCCATTTACAGTCTTTGATGCTGTCGAGAAAAATAAAACAAAACATATAAAAACGATTAAAGTCTGCAAACTAAGGATACAATCTGAAAGGTGTAGCTATGTCTAAAAATTGACAAGATAGTTTAGGCTCAAATTGCAAAGCTGTACGGCCATTATTCTCAAAATTACAAAAGTGAAATAACAGCCTATAGAGCATAAAAAGCAAGAAAAGCAGGAGCCAAGACCAGGGCTGCACAATTTATCAAAATCAAAATCACTATGAGTTGGCAGAATTATCAAAAAGCAAAAACTTTTTTTATTTATATAGTGCTTTTCTAAACACTCAAAGACACTGTACAAAGAACACAATTATAAAGAGGACATCTAAAAAAAACAAAGTAATAAAAATAACTAATTATTTAGATAAGCGGAATATTTTGTTTTGATAGAAGAAATGTAATACCAGTAGTTTAGACTTCTATAAACATGTTGTGAAATTCATGGGATTCTTGTAATAGTTTATCAGATCGTATTTCAGTCTTCAGACTCTTGTGAGCTTTAAGTCTATGTTAGAACGTTGTTACCTCATCAAAAAAAGTGCCTGGAGTCGTGTTTTGTTTCATTCACAAATGTTTAAGTAACCCTTTATTATTAGTTGGGCGTCATGAAACAGCAGTTTTCAAGTTAACAGCTACTTTTTGTTCAGCAGATTGGAAATTCCAGGGCTGAAATTATCCAAATGATTCTAGTGAAGATTTATGGAGTTTAAAAGCGTAGGAGCATTTCCTGTATTACTCCATGACATGACAAGGTAAAACTCAGCCTAAATATGCAGGGTTTATGTGTTAAACATGTGTGAATGGAGCAAAACACAACTCTGGGTATGTTTTTCATGAGGAAACAACATTATATTATAGATCAGAAAAGAGCATAATATGGGCACTATAAACTAATTCCAAATCAAATGGTTATTACATTTTAATTACAAAATTGTGAAGCCAAAGCAAAGACAAATCTGTCAAAATGCACAGAGCAAATAAGTATGTATTATGATAATGTAAAATGTAGGTAAATGCATCTAACTATAAACCTTTCTTATACAAAATACATCACTATTTAAAAAAAAAAAAGTTGAAGTTTAAATTCAGGGTCACATGTCACAGAGCACTCAACATGTCCGGGTCATTTATTTGAACGATAATGACTCACGTTTTGTGAATAGTCTGGAATAGCTGTTGGCCCTCTGCAGAAACCCCAGCACTGATTGCATAGGCTTGGGACAGCTTGTCCTCCTTTTCCGTCCGTGCTCGATTGGCAAGCTGCAAAAGAGAGCAGAAAACCAATGTTGAGCATAAATTATCCGTCGAGCAAGCAAAAAGGCAAAAGGATTTATACATATTGAATCAGCAAAGAAGGTAAATATATAGAGTTATGAATTAAATACTATGCGTCGTATATTGAGGGAGATTTTATGTATGTTTTCTTTGAGGAACATTTTTGATAAGTTTATGACAAAAGTTGACACATATCTTGATTCATCTCAGTTTCAGAACCACTTTACTTATTAAAATTCAGTGCCCAGAAGCAAGTAAAACGAAAGCCTTATCCAGCCTTCTGGTCATGTAAATGCATGAGACAGACTTGAAAGTAGGGGTGCAGTCTTTTAGTCAATTAATCTGTTCAAGTCCTCTTAGTCTTGGATAATATTACACAATAATACAATAATACATCCACAACTAATTATTTTATCAGTAGTACAAAGGATTTATATGCACAACAGCAGAAAGAATACATGGAGTAAGTTAGCTGGAGTTTAGGGGGTGACTACACAGTTTTACTAATATGAAGATGCTGTCCACTAGCACTTCTCTATATAAATAATTGTTTTTACATGAGATTCTATTAACTTTGAGAGCTTTCATCAACGCCATGTCTTCTTTTAGTCGCTCAATGCTCAAAACAGTCAACTAAGAATTTCTTTACATCAACTACACCCCTATATGAAACTCAACCCCATTCACAGCTCAGAGAACAGGATATGACTAAGTCTGCCCATATGTTCAGTTTCATTATTAAGTCACACACTTGTTACCTTTGGTGCGATCGACAAAAGAAAATTATCTAAACATTAACAGGCAATTTGTCAACTGAGCCACAAATCCATAAATGCTGGGATAAGGAAGTGGAAGTATTGATAACCACTTACCTTGCTAACATTCAGAGATGCTAGAGGAGGAGGGGTCTCAGTGCGGTCATTTATTATGTCCACATCAGAAACATAGGCTAAGTTGATCAGGATGACGTCATTGAGGTTTGGCTTACCGCTGGAGGAAGCACATTCTTTGGGAAAATAGGGTTAAGGTGCAATAAGTACAAAAAGTGACACTAAAATCAGACTAAAACTTCAAAACTTATATAATAAACTTCAAACCTTATATAATAAAGAAGAAATAGTGGTGAACAGTAACAGGGCAGTACCAGTTACAGAAGTAAGTATGAGAAATGCTGCCACCAAAGGATGACTGAAGACGCTATGAGTGGCAATTAGGTTTAGGCAGATAAAGTTTGGATAATATTATGAATGTATGAACATATAACTCATAATAAATGCTACAAAAAGAGATGTAAGTTTACATTTCTCAGATATTTAAACCTCAACTGAAAAACTTGTTCTCACAGTATATCGCCAGAATATTGTAATCGTGATTCTCTAAAACCGTACACAGCATCTCCCATTAACACAGAAGACTATGGTGGCCCCTCATAATTCAATTTTCACCCCCATAGTCTTAAAACTAGCTGAGCAAAAAGTGGGAAAACTAAATGCTCACTAGAGACTATACGTGACATTTATACACCAATATATTGTATTAAATAAAATGATTCAAATGCAGATCACTTGTGCCACCAATCCTGCGGGAAACACTGAATACATACACATTTTTGTCACTCCTAAAGGCAGTATTGGGATAGAATATAAGATCTGTCAGACATTATACACTAACGTAAATACTAGTTAAACCAAAAGCAAACTGTGCATTAAAAGATAGTTTACACATGATGGTGTGGCGTTTTTCAGAGCTACGGACAAGCAGCATATCCTGTCAAACTTGCTATATGACTACAGTACGAAACCATTAGTGCACCACGAAACATCACTAAATCATATCAAGTCTCCATCCTTCTGCAAACCGCCTATATTTGCACTGTTACAAATTATTATTAAAACCAGTTTTCCATAATCTCAATCTTACACCGCATGACAAATTTATCAACATTAGAAATAGCAAGGGTTTTAGCTGTCATAATGGCTCTACATTTAGCCATACATAGGGTAACCAGAATTTCAAAAATAAAAAACTGGGACATCCCTGCTATTTTGGTGGTTGGCAATAATAAAACTGAAACGAGTGTGTAATTATTATGCAGAGACCATTCATGACTAACAGGTGAGTCAGTATAGTCAGTATTCTTTGTATTTTGGTCATTTTTAAGCAGCTTTTCTATATTTTACCTAACAAAAAATGACAATTTATGCATCTCTTTACAGTTGGCATGTATCAAATTGGTCAAAAATAGGGACACTTGTTGTATAAAACTGGGACAAATCAATGGTTTTGGATAAATCTGCTGGGACAGGGGACACAAGGCTCAAAACTGGGACTGTCCCGGGTAAAAAGGTATGTCTGGTGGTCACCCTACCATACGAGATGCAACACGAGTAACCAGCATGCTGCCTTGATGTCATTTTCATTCAGCACACCCACGTTCATTCATTCATTCACTGGAGTAGGCATTTCTGACCATGGGTGTAACACAGCTAGGGATGCTCCTGATCTTTTAGAGGCTTATTGAGTGGCTATTTGATACATGTAAATACAGAGCACATCTATAAATAAACGGTGATAATACGTTTCGGATTCGTAAACAAAAACACATCCCGGGTTTGGGGCGGTGGGGAGACGATGCCTGACCACTGAGGCTACCGAAACTTAGCACGTTAGCCGCTAGCAGCAACTTGGTAGTAGTGTGGACGGCTAATCGGCGTTCATTCATCTTTAGCCTGTAGCCAAAATAGCTAGCATTCCGGGGAGTCCTTACCAAATGGCTGTGTGACATTGGGAGATACGCGGTTAAAACAACAAGACGGGGAAATGTCAGGAAGGTCGCAGGCTAGCAGCGATTTGTGCCTGTTGAGAACACCCAGCCATGATGCCTTACTGGGATCCGCTGCCAGATAGTGATCCATGTTGAGATCTGGCAATACAATGAGCTGATTCAAAACACATGCACTCCCTAGCACACTGGGGGAACCCGTGAAATAACCCCGCGACCACCCCGAAGCAAACACAAGCGCCGCATACAAGATCAACACGTGTTTTAGGGGAAATACTCTAAAAAGGACAAAGATATCCAACTCTGCTGCCAGCAATTACGCCTGCGCGGACCACTATTTGACACACACTCGGTTACCCTACAGGCCCTTGCAGCCAGGCAGGCCAGCGAGCCATCCGCAGCGCCACCAAACAAAGGATACTCAGAGTTAACATCTTGGACTGGTAATCAAACGCGACCACTTCTCCATTAAGTCGTTGGCCCAAGCAGGTGAGGCAAGAGACATGGCTCCCGACGCTGAAATACTCCCCCGGTCCAGGAGCCGCCATCTTCTCCGCCAGGAAACCGGAGCGCCTGCCTCACGTAAAGCGACGCGATGGCGTATTCAACCGAAGCTGGGCGTGTCGTCGCAATGTCGTAGAATAAAACTAGAGTGACTATCGCCATGGTAATCAACGCAGCGGTTCCCTACTTTTTTTGTCCCGAGTATCTTTTAAGTACGTTTAATTATTTAGTACTCAAATAAATCTGTTTTACTATTGTATATTGTGAATTACTGCGTTATAGTTTCTTGTTTTATGATAGTAATGACCAAAATCATCCAAAACATTCTTAAGTATGTATTAAAAACAAAAATTAAAAAAATAAAATAAATAAAAAATAGTCCTTTAGGCTTTTTTTTTTTTTTTTTTTTTTTAATTTACTGTATTTGTACTTTATCAAATACCCATATTCAACTATTATGATGTCAACAAAGCCTATAAATAAATAAATAAATAAATAAATACATAAATAAATTATGAATAAAGATTATTATTAGTAGTATCATTTAAGTTACCAATGGATGTGCCCTTGACACAGTTTATTATTAACATGCAAACATACTATCTCTGTATTAATATTAATTTCTTTCAGTTGAGTAAAACCAGTCCTGAGTTCCCCGCATTACTGGGACTACAAAACTACCATTATTAGTCCATTTAAATTTCTTTAATCAACTAAATTTCTGGCCGTTTTCATATTATTTTCGACAACTTAGCTCTTCTAACAGTCACAAGATGTCCGCAACAAATGCCACGACCTTAGAAGCCATGGCAACAATATCCAGGGTATCTCTAGCTCTATTTATAACACATTGATGTCGTTGGACGTTGTTTTAGGGTTACCTCAAATCCACCTTTTAATTAATTATACTTTAACTACACGCTGACAAATTCTAGCATCCAATGATAAGAATATAATGTTTTCGCCGGGTTTAATAAAACTATAGTTATTTCACAGGTTTGACCATTTTAATATTTGACCGCAGTTTAACCGTTAGAATTGCTCCCTCTAGTGGACAGCGTAGGTCAGGACACAGCGGTTTCCTCAGGACAACATCATCCACCTCCTCCTCTTCTTCTTAACCCGAGGAACTGTGTCTCTGATGTTCCCACGTTTGTCAACTTTAACGTGACTGTTCTTTAGACATGGACATCATTCATAGAAACGGCATTTGGATGGCGGAAACTCTCCAGCAGGGGACGAAGAGTTATGAAAACTTCTGGCTTGTCTTGTCACATCTGGGAGATCCAAAAGCTGCATTTCTTCTTGTCTTTCCTTTCACGTATTTCATCAGCAAACGAGTGGGCATTGCGGTGGTTTGGGTGGCAGCTATTTCCGAGTGGCTCAACGTGGTGTTCAAATGGTAACGACATGATTTGACATTGTTTGTTATTTATTTTTTATCTTTCATTTTGAAGATGCAAGGTTGTTATCACCGTTCGGCTTGTTCGTCTGCTGCAAAGGCGTTTAATTGTTACTTTAGCAAAATGCTTGTCTTTATGTGTTGCATTTTTCATATTTTATGTGCAAAAAAGGCTAATAAGTTTTCGTAAACGTTACCACTTCCGGGAGATGTTCTTCTTCTCGGATCCGTGTGAAACAGAGGCAATGCGGAACCTTTGTATTTAAAGCTAAATCCAAACTCGTGATATTCATTTTTTATAACACACTAGTCCACGAGCTAAAATAAAATCTGTTTTAATCTCCAATGCTTTCTATTTATTGTCTAAAATATAGCAATCTAAATTTTTAAAGGTGTACTATAAAACTATGAAAATAAAGGTCGTTTTTATTAAACTTAAAAGTAGCATATCTCCCTTATTTCTCAACCAAATTTTGTGATCATGGTGTGATTTTTTGTGTGATTTCAAGCTCTATCTAATTAGAGTAAATTGAAATTAGTTTTTTATTATTAGTTTAAGTAACTTAATTTTTTTTTTTGCAACATACCTACTATGAAACTTTTTGATGTAGTTTCTGACACCTGCAGATCTCCATGAAGATGTTATCGCTAAACTATTTTGCATTTATTCAGTGACCTTGAAAGAAATGTGGTCTAACTGTGTGCGGGCTCACCTCTCCATAGATCTGACCTGTAACTTAGATCGGTGGCATCAGCTTTTTGTCTCCATGGAGATAGATATATTGAATTTCATTACAAAGCAAAAGTGACATGGTGCAGCTTTAATTACTTTTCATCTCTGTCTAACTGACTGTATGTGTAATGTTTTACTCAGGATGCTGTTTGGAGAACGCCCATTTTGGTGGATCGGTGAAAACGAGCTCATAACCAAAGTGCACCAGTTTCCCTCCACCTGTGAGACTGGGCCAGGTAAAAAAAAAAAAAAAACTGTACAATAATATTATGCACTATACGGTCTGCTCATTACACAGTTTGATGCTCCACTCCACAGGTAGCCCATCAGGTCATGCAATGATCACTGCTGCCGTCTGGTGGGTTGTGATTACTGCAGTGAGCAAGTTCATTTACGCGAAGACCAACAGGTATTTCCCAAGTATTATTCATAATGTAACAACACTGAGTTTTGTACAATATATACTGTATACTCCACAAGTCAAAACTTTGGACTCACCCTTTCATTCATTGTTTTTTCTCTGTATTTACTACTTTCTACATTTGATATATACACAGAAGACATCAAATATATGAAGTAAGATATATGGAATTATGTAGCAAAGGGGAAAAAAAAGTTACTATTTTGTATATCTATATATGCTATAACCAAATCTTCAAATTATCCAACCTTTGCTTTGAGTTACTGAGTGAGAGAGTGTGTCTTCTCCATAGTTTAACCATCTCCTCTGTTTGTTTTCAGTGTTGTACTCACATCTGTCCCGTACCTGCTCTATGCCGCTTTGCTCGTTGTCGTTGGACTCTCCAGGATTTACATTCTGGCTCATTTTCCTCATCAGGTTTTCGCTGGAGCCTTTACAGGTCAGAAAGCAAGTTTAGCTCATAGACACATATACAAAGCTGTGGTCTAGTTAAAGTATATATGGAAGATTTGGCTGAAGATCTTACTAAAAATCTTGCTTAGTTAAAAAAAAAAGAAAAGAAAATTGGTGAAGATTATTATTTTATTTCCTATGGCATACATAGCCATAACCATTACCAAGCAACCATAATATTAACAAGGGCCAAATTTACACAATAGTTAATAGATAGACAAAAAAATTGCTTTATTGTGTTAGAAAAATTTAAATCTGTCATATTCCAGCTCCTGTATTTGTCATGTACAATAGAAACATGTATTCATAAGTGTGTTTTTGTTCAGGCGTGATCCTTGGAGTTGTTCTGGGTAAAACCATTCCTGAAGGGCGCCCCCTGCTGTTTTTCTTCAAAATGAGCTTTGGTCTTCTGATAAGTGCCGTCCTGATTAATCTTGCACTGCAGGAGATAGGAATTAACCTCTCTTGGTGAGTGTTTAAAGGGAACGTATTATGTAAAGTCAGCTTTTATGATCTATTAACCATGTTGTAACAATGTTCACTCACTTTTAGCTATTCAAAGTTGTTTTTAGATTGATTCATGCAATTTTGAGTAATCTTGTATCATCCTGTATTTGAGGCTTGAGTGCTCAGAAAGTTCCAGCTTTCACATACCCCCTATTCTCGCCTACTTTTCTGTACCTACTTATTATTCAAAAAAGTGTAAATGACTCTCTGCTTGTTTATAATATCAGTTTATAATACTAAATACCCAAACATTCATACAGTGTTTGTTCTTGCAATGAAAAAGCCACACATTGATTGATTTATTGAGTTAATCCTCTCTCCCACAGGTCTATTGCTCTGGCTAAGAAGTGGTGTAGTCGCCCAGAGTGGATCAGACTGGACACCGCCCCCTTCTCGTCTATAACCCGGGACTGTGGGGCTCTGCTGGGCTTGGGACTGGCACAAAGCTGGAGGCCAGCGGGGTTTTCTATGCCTTTAGCCCCCCGAGCTTTGTCCTTGGCCTTCTCCTCTATGGGGTTGTACCATGTTCACCGCCTGCCCCTGCCCGTCAAACCACAGCTCCTCTTCTATAGTCTTTTCTTTGTTAAGTTTGTGATTGTGCCTCCACTGGTCATGGTACTAGTGCCTGGAGCAGTCCACTTTTTCACAAACAAAAGAAAGAGAGATTAGATGCAAAAAAAAACAACAACTAAAAAGCATTGTACTGGTTCTTATTGGTACTCGTTTTTTAAGTTGATATAATTTCAATACTACAGTTGTTTGTGTTTACACTGATTTTCAGTTCAGGGTTCATTTTGTTAGAATTCATTCCATGTGCTGCCTGCAATCAGTGAGAATACATTGTGAGATGTTTACTTTCCTCAGTGAATGTTATGTGTTTTAAATCAAGTATTTTTGCACTACTCAGTGTCTTTAGATACAGTTAGAGCTGAAAATTATATGCTTTTCCAATATTGTGACGTGACTGTGAAAACAGCGCCATCTATTGTTTGTCAACCCACAGCTCAACGGTTGCACTTTATACAAAACACTGTAACAGCATTCCATGATTTAAGAATGATTTTAAAGATTAATGCTGAGCGAGTGGATCATATTTGTGTTCAAAATCCTATTTTACCAAATGTGTTCGAATGAAATATAAAGCCTGTATTTTGTTACTTAATAAATTAATAAAACGCACATGCACGGTGTGTTTCAGTTGGTAACCATTTATAAATGTTATTTTTCCAATACATATGTTTGACTGTACAGATTACAATCAGTTATCATGAGATAAAAACACATTCTTTTTATTGTTTTTAATTAAACTTTTAGTCACAGCGATCTGAAAGCTCACATTTACA